GAACAGCAATGAGGAGATGTACAAGAGGGAGCTGATGAGGAAGTACGGGGCCGTCGATTATCGGAGGCCCTCGAACGGCATGTGGCGGACATGGACTCGGAGTGTACAGGGTCCTCCATGTCGTTCCGATCCGACGATAACATTGGGGAGGCTAGAGGGAGGACCTCGCCCCCCAAAAAACATCGAAAGAGGCGGATCGTGGAGAGGGGTCAGGACGAGTTGGACTCTGACGATGATGAGATCCAGCTGTCGTCAGCGGCTCGAAGAAGTAGGGCCAAGGGCCCTCCAACGGCCAAGAGGGGAGCGCGAGCGGCCAAGTCTGCGGCACGATCGGGGACAGGGTTTCGGCCTCTGAACCCGAATCGTCCAGGTCCGTCTCGCGCGCCCGTAGGGAGTCGGCGGAGAACACCACGCTGGGCGCCGACGAGTTGGGCGCCAAGGTTGAAGACAGTGCCCTTCAGGTCCTTGCTGCAGTGAGAAAGTCCAGCAACCTGAAGGGTACCATAGTCAAGGTGAGATCAACCGCGCCATCCACACCATCCTATCGGCGGCGGGTGCCCTGAGGCAAAGTTCGTCAAACCCGGAGGAGGAAGCCCTCAGTCGGGAGGTCCGCAAACTCCGTGAGGAGTTGGACGAGGTCCGGGAAATGAAGGCTGCGATGCTGAAGGTTGGTCTGTCGAGGAGAGGAAGAAGTTCCGACAGCTCCAGATGGCGTCGCGTCTTCCGCCGCGCTGGCCGAAGAACTGGCCGCGTTGAAGGCGGAGCGCGAGGAGTGGGAGCGGCAGGCGCGCGACAGCGTTCGACAGCTGAAGGAGCTCAAGGACTCGAACGCTCTCGACCGCGCCGCCCTTCACAAAGCGATGCGGCAATTAGAGGAGGCCAAAACCGCTGCCGAGTTGCCTCCAGTGGTCATCTCAGGGACCACGGCGGAAGCGCCGCAAGGTGCCACGCCCCGGACCCTGACGGAGGACGCCGAAGACCGGATTATCCGGCGAGTAGGCGAAATCATGAACACCCGCTTCGCCGAGATGGAGGAGCGGATCTCGGCGAAGCGAACGCGGCCACCAAAAGCCGCAAAGAGTATGCCTACTGCCGGATCATCCGGTACAGCGGCTGATAGGGCCCCACAGATCGGGGAGTCCAGCGGAGGAAGTGTCCCGCCACCGTCGACCTCAGCAAACAAGGAGGGATGGTCGACGGTGGTACGGCGCGGGAAGCGCAAGGGTGCTGGCGCAGGCGTGGCGGCTCCCGCCAATGCGCGCTCGGGGAAGGGGCCACGCGGCGGCCCAACAGAGGAACCGCAGCGGAAGACTCCCGCTCGGAAGAAGAAGGCGAAAGCACGCCCTCCTCGGTCATCGGCGGTGGTTCTCACCATGAGGCCGGGAGCCGAGGAGAGAGGCGTCACCTACAGGTCGGTGCTCACCGAAGCGAAGGCCAAGATTTCCTTGGCCCAGCTCGGTATCACCGACCTGAGGTTCAGAGGAGGGAGAACCGGGTCCCGTATCCTGGAAATCCCCGGAACGCACACAGGCGAGGCGGCAGACGCGTTGGCCGCCAAAATCGAGGAGGTCCTGCCCGAGGACGTCCGGGTCTCCAGGCCAGTTAAGTCGGCCGAACTGCGGATCGGAGATCTGGACGACTCGGTGATGGTGGCCGACGTGGTCGTAGCCGTGATGCGTGAGGGGGTTGCCGGAGTCCTCGGTGAAAACCGGGGAAATCCGGCGCAACACCCAGGGTACGGGATCTGTGTGGGTGCGGTGCCCTGTGGCCGCCGCAAAGAAGTTGGCCGAGGCCGGCCGGCTCAAGATCGGGTGGGTGATGGCGCGGGTGCAGTCGCTGGACCCGCGTCCTCAGCGGTGCTATCGCTGCCTGCTTACAGGCCACGTGGGAGTGCGATGCACCGCTGCGGAAGACAGCAGCGGAATTTGCTTCCGCTGCAGCGAGCCCGGACATAAGGCCGCACGCTGCGCCGCGCCATCACCGAAGTGTCGGTACTGTGCCGCGGCGGGTCGCAAGTCCGACCATAGAGTGGGCGTCACAAATTTGTGTCGCCCGCCAAAGGCCCGAGCCGCGGCACGGGCCACAGGGGGGGGGAGTCGATGGACACTTGAGTAAAATCAGGTGTGCATCGACTCCAAAATTGACCCTAGGGTGGAGGATTGTTAGGGCAATCCGAAGCTCACCGGGGAGGCATTAGGGTCTGGAGGTGGCGTGCAGAGACTGTTCCCTGCACGCCTAGATGGAGGTCCCTTCGATGGGAACCATGCCGGTGGTCTTGGTGAATGCTTTGCGTATCCCATGGCCACGGCGATTATGTCGAGGAGGAACAGTCGTCAGGTTTTTAGCAGGTAGGAGTCCGGCAGTATCCATTCTTCCCTAAGGGAATGGTTCTCCATGATGGATTTTCCTGACGTGAAAAAAAAAAAAAAAAAAAAAAAAAAAAAAAAAAAAAGGTTAGGTTAGGTTGAAGCGTTCCGGGGCGTGTGTCGGGCAACCTCCTAGTATGGGCCTGCCATTGGGAGGCTTCCCCATCCTCGTGGATACGTCCGCGGGGAACGGTGGCCGAGCAATGGTTTGGTTCTGGTACGCCCCGGGCGGGATAGTAGTCGTTCCTTCGGGATACGGCTACTATGTCGGCCAGTAGCCCGGCAGGTTGGGCGGGTTTAGGATTCCTATGCCTCGACAAAGTCGAGGATCCCGGAGTTAGGAACCCGCCCAACTTTTCTTTTAGTCTTCTTTTTGTTTGTTTCTCCTTCTTTTGTTTTGTTTGGTTTTTCTTCTTTTTGTTTGTGTTTTTATTTATTTGGTTTTAGTTTGTCTTAGGTTTTTATCTGTCTTTGTCTGTCTTTTGTCTTTTCTGTCCTTTTTGGTTTTCTTTCTTTTTCTGTTTCGCTGTAGGTAGGAGTCCGGGACCACACCCGTAAAAAGGAACAAAATGACGATGGCTGAACGAAATAAAAAAGTACCCCAGGGAGGTACCGGTCGCTCTGCGGCCGGAGAATCCTCCCCCACCGCACCGGATTTGCCGGGGGTGGGCTGTCCCGCGTCTTCTGGGGGGGACACGCTCAGTCGTAGGAGGGAGTGGGAGAAAGAGGTCATGAGGTGCGTCGAGGCCGTACAGGGGATTGAGGAGCTGGAAATCCACGTGGCCGGCATGGACTCCGAGTGTACGGAGTCCGGACTGTCGGTTGCGTCGGAGGACTGCCGCAACTCCCTGTCGGTAACGACGGAGGACTGCCTGAGGGTGAGCACGTCGCCCAAAAGGCTTAGGCGTAAGAGGCGTGTCGTCGAGAAGTCACAACACCTTGACTCCGACGACGACGTCGAAGTGGTGCAGGTGGAGCGGGCTGCGATCCCGAAGATAGGTGGGAAGGGGAAGCGCAGGCCAGCCTCCCGCATGGAGACAGAGGGTTCGGCCTCGGCCGGATCCTCCAGGTCCGTCTCCGCGTCGAGGACTGCCGTCCGCCGATCAACTGCGGACGAGTCGTTGCGCGCCGATGAGCTGGGCGCCAAAATAGAGGACAGTGCACTTCAGGTACTCGCCGCCATAAAGAAGTCCGGCAACCTGAAGGGCACCATTGTAAGGGACGTAAAGGACGCCGTCTCTGCCATCCGTTCGGCGTCCGATGTCCTCAAAGAGCGGTCGACCAGCGCGGAGGTAATGGCCCTCACGAGGCAGGTCGCCATGCTGCGTGTTGAGCTGGACGAGGCCCAGCAGCTGTCAAATGCGGCGGTCCAGGAGGGCCTGAAGGAGAGGCGCGAGTTGGTCGCCCTCCGGGTGAAGGCCAGTTCCTTCGCTTCATTGGCGGAACAACTCGAGCTGATGAAGACGGAGAGGGAGGAGTGGCAGCGGCAGGCACGGGGGAGCGCCAGACAACTGGAAGACCTAAAGAAGTCAAGCGCTCTAGACCGTGTAGCCCTGCAAAAGGCTTTGCGAAGGCTGGAGGAGGCGGAAACCGCCGCGCAACTCCCGCCAGTGGTGATCACCGGGGCGACGGCGGAAGTGCCGGAGGGTATCACGCCCCAGACCGTGCCCGAGCACGCTGAGGACCGGATCATCCGGCGAGTGGGCGAGCTCATGAACATCCGCTTCGCCGAGATGGAGGAGCGGATCTCGGTGAAGCGAACGCGGGTTCAGAAGGCCGCGAAGAGTGCGCCCGCCGCCGGATCATCCGGCACGGTGGCTGGTGGGACCTCGCAGACCGGGGAGCCCAGTGGAGGACGTGCCTCTCAACCGTCGACGTCCGGAGCAAACAAGGAGGGCTGGGCGACGGTTGTGCGCCGCGGCACGGGAAGCGCAAGGTGCTGGCGCAAGCCGACAGGTCCCACCAGCGCGCGACCAACGAAGGCGCCAAGCGGCGGCCATAAAGAGGAACCGCAGCGGAAGCCTTCCGCGCGGAAGGTGAAGGCACGCCCCCCTCGATCGTCGGCGGTCGTCCTGACCATGAGGCCGGGAGCCGAGGAGAGGGGCGTCACCTATGGGTCGGTGCTCACCGAGGCGAAGGCCAAGATTTCCTTGGCCCAGCTCGGTATCACCGACCTGAGGTTCCGCGTGGGAAGGACCGGAGCCCGTATTTTAGAAATACCCGGCGCGAACACAGGCGAGGCGGCAGACGCGTTAGCCGCCAGGATCGAGAGGTCCCTGCCCGAGGACGTCGTCCAGGTCCTGCCCGAGGACGTCGTCCGGGTCTAGGCCAGGTTAGGTCGGCCGAACTGGCCGCCGCTAGGATCGGAGACCTGGACGACTCGACACTGGTGGCTGACGTTGTCGTCGCCGTGATGCGCGGGGGGTTGCCTGAGTCCGCGGTTAAAACCGGGGAAATCCGGCGCAACTCCCTGGGTACGGGCTCCGTGTGGGTGCGGTGCCCTGTGGCCGCCGCTAAGAAGTTGGCCGCGGCCGGCCGGCTTTGGATGGGGTGGGTGATGGCGCGGGTACAGGCTCTGGACCCGCGACCTCAGCGGTGTTATCGGTGCCTTCTTACAGGCCATGTGGGCGTCCGATGCACCGCCGGGGAAGACTGCAGCGGAATCTGTTTCTCGCTGCAAAATTTAGTTCGGCCATGAAGGCGAGAGACGGTGCGCCGCGCCATCACCGAACTGTCGGTACTGTGCCGCGGCGGGTCGGAAATCCGACCATAGAGTGGGCGTCACTAATTTGTGTCGCCCGCCTAAGGCCCGAGCCGCGGCGCGGGCCACAGGTGGGGGGGGAGTCGATGGACACTTGAGTAAAATCAGGTGTGCATCGACTCCAAACTTGACCCTAGGGTGGAGGATTGTTAGGGCAATCCGAAGCTCGCCGGGGAGGTTTTAGGGTCTGGAGGTGGCGTGCAGAGACTGTTCCCTGCACGCCTAGATGGAGGTCCCTTCGATGGGTACCATGCCGGTGGTCTTGGTGAATGCTTTGCGAATCCCATGGCCCGGCGATATGTCGAGGAGGAACAGTCGTCAGGTTTTTAGCAGGTAGGAGTCCGGCAGTATCCATTCTTCCCTAAGGGAATGGTTCTCCATGATGGATTTTCCTGACGTGAAAAAAAAAAAAAAAAAGGTTAGGTTAGGTTAGGTTAGGTTAGGTTAGGTTAGGTTAGGTTAGGTTAGGTTAGGTTAGGTTAGGTTAGGTTAGGTTAGGTTGGGGCGTGTGTCGGGCAACCTCCAAGTATGGGCCTGCCATTGGGAGGCTTCCCCATCCTCGTGGATACGTCCGCGGGGAACGGTGGCCGAGCAATGGTTTGGTTCTGGTACGCCCTGGGCGGGATAGTAGACGTTCCTTCGGGATACTGCTACTATGTCGGCCGATAGTCCGGCGAGTAGGAGTAGGCACTTCTTTTGTCTTTTTCTGTTTTCATCTTTTTCTTTTCTTTCTCTTTCAATCTTTTCTGTCGTTCTGTTTTCTTTTCTTCTTTTTCTTCTTTGCCTACTGGCAAGTCAGGTCCGGTGGGTGCTTAACTGCGCAGCCGGACAGCACTTCGGTGCAACTGACTTCAAACCGTAAACTTGCACTGGGTGTCGGTGATCACGTCTATCGGCCCAGTGTAGGAGCGGGGGCTCTTGGCTTAATTGCCCGGGGCCGCGAGGAGTCAACCTCTATAAAAAACCTCTTGTCTAAGCTCGGTGCCTGGCGAGGGACAGGTCGTCACGCGGAGCACGCTGCTGGAATTCGTTTCAGTTAGCGTGTTCTCCGGGGCGGCCGGGTCGGAGGAGTAACTCCGGCCGCAAGGGCACCAACCTTTGGGCACCAGCCGCACCCAAAGAGTATTAGGCCGCAGTCGGTAGCAGGGGGCAACGCCGGCTGTGCAACCTTTCCCCCATACTCGTGGGAACAAATATGGAAAGACAACACAAAAAATCCGATGTTGGGTCCGTGAAGGACGGCGAACGAAGTGGGTCCGCGAAGGACGGCGAACGAAGAGTGTCCGCGAAGGACGGAGCACCGAGTGGGTCCGCGAAGGACGTAGTGATGAAAGAGTGCGCAGTCAGGCTGACTCGCAACAGGAGTGCGTCGATAGGTGGCGCCACAGGGACAGGACAAAGCGCCAAAGGGCCGGGATCCCTAGTGTCCCCCGGTCGTTAAGCGCATACCCGGACACGGAATTCGACTCTGAGCTCACGGCTTCATCTCTGTCGCTGTACTCAGAGCTCGAAGCGGCACTAAGTGTGGAGACGCCGAAACACGGCCAAAGGACGCGGAAGCGGGCCACGCCCGTAAACGCGAAGACGGATTCGGACGACGGTTCGGATGTGTCGGCGAAGAAACCGGCGGCGCGCCCGGTATTCCGTCGGCCATCGCAGGAGGAGGAGTTGCGCCATGCAGAAGACCTAGGGAAGCAGGTCGATGTGGAAGCGCATCAGATATTGGAGGCGGTTCGCCGATCCGGCAACCTTAAAGGGAGTGTCATCCGGGAGATAAAGGACGCTGTTGCCTCGATCCGTCGGGCTTCAGACGTCCTAGTGACAAGGTCAGCAACGGCGGAATGCGCTCGCCTTAGGGCGGCCAATTCCCGCCTGGAGAAGGAGGTCTTTGACCTGAAAGAAATGATGGCGGGATTCCGCGTCGAGTTCGCCCAAATGGATAAGGAGATGGCTGAACTCCGCGGACTAAAAAAGAGAGGGGTAACACCTGGGCCGGATCCGACAGAAGTCGCCCGGCTCAAGCAGGAAAACGCCGAACTGGAGGCACAGCTTGACCGATACGTCAAGGACAACGTGGAGCTACGACAGAAAGTCCTGGCGGGTAATGTGGCGCTGCGGAAGGCACAACGGAGTGCTTCCCAGAACTCCGCGGAGCCGAGTCCTGCACCCGCACCGCCGATCCCGGAAAAGATGGAGGTGACGTCATGCGACCCACCGGTGCTCCTGACACCGAGTGACGACATGGAGGGTCGCATAGTGAGGCAAATCGGGGAGATGTTCAACGCCCGATTTGCAAAACTAGAGGAGGCACTTCCCCAAAAAGGGAAAAAGAAGGAGAAGAAGAAGACGCCTCCCAAGCAAGACGTCCAGAAGACTGTGCAGCCGCCGCCCAAAACTCCAGCAGCTAGGGCCGCGGCGAACAAAAAGGAGGCCACGGATCGACCAGGTCCGGTTGCCAAAATGAGCCCTGGCCTCTCCCAGCAACCGTCGACAAGCACAGCAGAGGAGGGGTGGTCGACGGTCGTACGGCGGGGCAAGAAGAGCTCGGCGGCGACGAAAACCCAGAAGGCGCCGGCCGCACAAGCGGCCCCTACAAGGGAGGCTACAAAAGAATCGGCCAAGCCGAAAAAGAGAAGACTGCGTCCCCCCCGCTCTTCGGCGATTGTCTTAACAATTCAGCCAGAAGCCGAAAAGGGGGGACTGACATACAGTTCGGTGCTCCGCGAGGCGAAAGATAAGATTTCCCTCGCGGAACTCGGGATTACCGAGTTGAAATTCAAGCCGGCCATCACCGGAGCGCGCATCCTTGAGGTGCCGGGCGACTCCGGTGATAAAGCGGATCAGCTGGCAAATAAGCTGGCGTCCATCCTGCCAGAGGGATCCGTCCGGGTCTCCAGGCCGATGAAATCGGCGGAGCTCCGCATTGGAGACCTGGACGATTCGGCTACAGCAGCCGAAGTAGTGGCCGCGGTGGCGCGGGAGGGGAAGTGCACGGTGGAAACCGTTAAGTCGGGGGAAATCCGTCGCACTTCCTCAGGTGTGGGCACCTTATGGGTGCGCTGCCCAGTAGCAGCCGCGAAGGCCCTCGTCGACGCCGGCAGGGTTAAAATTGGATGGACGATGGCGCGGGTGTTCTCCTTAGACCCGAGGCCACTGCGGTGCTACCGCTGCCTTCTCACGGGGCACGTGGGACAGCGGTGCACCGCGAGAGAGGACTGCGGCGGCATGTGCTTCCGCTGCGGACAGGCCGGTCACAAGGCCGCGTCGTGCGTCGCGCCAAAGCCGCATTGTCGGTACTGCGCGGCGGCTGGTCGTGACGCCGACCACCGGATAGGCAGCGGCAAGCAATGCCGCGCTCCTAAGGCCCGCGCACCCGCGCCGGCCAGCGGAAGTGGAGGAGAGGATGGACACGTAGTCCATCCAATCCAACCTGGGCCACAGAGCGGCGGATGGGTAGGGCCATCCAAAGCTCCATGAAGGTTAGTGGCCCGAGCGGAGGCGCCCGGCGTATACCCCGCGGCGCCTTCCGGGAGTGTCCATCCGAGCCCAGGGCGGGGAAGCGGAAGAATGTCTCTCTGTTCCCGCGACCTCGCCCGCCATGGGCTGAGAGGTATACCATCAGGTTTTTAGCCGGTAGGAGTCCGGCAGTACCCATTCGCCCCCTATGGCGAATGGGTCTCCATGACGGATTTTCCTGATGTAAAAAAAAAAAAAAAAAAAAAAAAGGTTAGGTTAGGTTAGGTTAGGTTAGGTTAGGTTGGGGCGTGGGTCGGGCAACCTCCTAGTATGGGCCTGCCATTGGGAGGCTTCCCCATCCTCGTGGATACGTCCGCGGGGAACGGTGGCCGAGCAATGGTTTGGTTCTGGTACGCCCCGGGCGGGATAGTAGTCGTTCCTTCGGGATACGGCTACTATGTCGGCCAGTAGCCCACACAGGTTGGGCGGGTTTAGGATTCCTATGCCTCGACAAAAGTCGAGGATAGTCAGGAACCCGCCCAACTTTCTCTTCGTTTTGTTTTTGTTTTTTGTTTCTTCTTCTTTTATTTGGTTGTTTCGTTCTTCTTTTTATTTGGGTTTAATTTGTTTTATTTTTAGTTTGTTTGGTTCTTATCTGTCTTTGTCTGTCTGTTGGTCTTTCTATCTTTTTGGTTTGTTTTCTGTTTCCGTTTCTCGTCGAAGTCCGGGACCACACCCGTAAAAAGGACAATTATGACCATGGCTGATCGGAAAAAGAAGTTACCCCAGGGAGGTACCGGTCGTTCAACGATCGGAGAATCCTCCACCACCGCACCGGATTTGCCGGGGGTGGACTGTCCCACGTATTCTGGGGGGGACACGACCAGCGCCGAAGTTTTGAGGAGATTGATGATGAGAAGGGTCGTGATCCTGGATGAGCTGGAGGTTCTCGACGCACTTGAGGGAGTCGCAGATGGACTCTGAGCGGACAGGTTCGTCGCTGTCACTAAGATCTGAGGACAGCCTTGGGTTGGCTCGAGGAAGGACCTCGCCACCCAAGAAACACCGCAAGAGGAGGATCATCGAGAAGCGTCGGGAGTTGGACTCCGACGATGATGAGGTGGACCTGGTGGAGGTTGCCTCGACGGGGTCCAGGTCGAACCGGTCCAGGGGCCAGCAATCGGCCAAGAGAGGAGCGCGGACAGCCACGCCGTCGTCCCGTATGGAGACTGAGGCTTCGGCGTCCGAAGCGGAATCTCCCGGTACTGTGGCTGCCATCTGCCAAGCGTCCGAGGGACCATTTGGGATCCGACGAACTCGGAGCCAAAGTAGAGGACGGTGCCTTCAGGTACTAGACGCCGTGAGAAAGTCCGGCAACCTGAAGGGCACAATAATCAGGAGAGATAAACCGCGCCATTGGCGTCATCCGCTCGGCGTCCAGAACCCTGAAGCTGAGGTCCGGCTCCTCTGAGGAGGACGCATTAAGGAGGGAAGTCCGCAAGCTTCGCGCCGAGCTGGATGACGTGAAGGAAATGAAGTCGGCCATGTTGAAGGAGTCCGTCGAGGAGCGGAAGAAATTCCGACAGCTCCAAATGGCTTCACAGTCTTCCGCCGCGCTGGCCGACGAACTGGCAGCGCTGAAGGCGGAGAGAGAGGGGTGGGAGAGGCAAACGCGGGAGAGCGTTCAGAAAATAGAGGATCTGAGGAAACAGAACGCTCTAGACCGCCTTGCCCTCCAAAAAGCCCTACAGCAAGTGGAGGACCTGAAGACTGCGGCCGAGTTTCCACCGGTCGTAATAACGGGAACCGCAGAGGCTGCGCCGGAAGGTGCCCCACCTCAGACACACAAAGAGGACGCCGAAGACCGGATTATCCGGCGAGTAGGCGAATTGATGGATCGCCGCTTCGCCGAGATGGAAGAGCGGATCTCGGCGAAGCGCAAGCGGCCGCCAAAAGCTGCCAAGAGTACGCCTACTGCCGGATCATCCGGTACAGCGGTCGACTAGGGTCCCGCAGCGGGAGCCCAGTGGCGGAGGACGTCCCGCAACCGTCGACATCAGCCAACCGGGAGGGATGGTCGACGGTGGTTCGGCGCGGGAAGCGCAAGGGCGCTGGCGCAAGCCAGACGGCTCCTGCCAACGCGCGCCCGGAGAAGGGGCCAAGCGGCGGCCAAGCGCAGGAACCGCAGCGGAAAAAGAAGCCCGCGCGGAAGGTGAAGGCGCGCCCCCCTCGGTCATCGGCTGTGGTTCTGACCATAAGGCCGGGAGCCGAGGAGAGGGGCGTCACCTATAGGTCGGTGCTCACCGATGCGAAGGCCAATATCTCATTGGCCCAGCTCGGTATCACCGACCTTAGGTACAGAGTGGGAAGGACTGGGGCCCGTATCCTCGAAGTCCCCGGATCAGACACAGGCGACAAGGCGGACGCGTTGGCTGCCAAAATAGAGGAGGTCCTGCCCGAGGACGTCCGGGTCCCGAGACCTGTCAAACCGGCCGAGCTCAGGCTCGTCGACCTGGACGACTCGGTGTCGGTAGCCGACGTGGTGGTCGCGTCATGCGGCGGGGGGTGCCGGGAGTCCTCGGTGAAAACCGGGGAAATCCGGCGCAACCCGCAGGGTACGGGCTCAGTCTGGGTGCGGTGTCCTGAGGCCGCCGCCAAGAACTTGGCCGATGCCGGTCGGCTCAAGATCGGTTGGGTGATGGCGCGGGTTCAGTCCTTTGGACCCAAGGCCGCAGCGGTGCTATCGCTGCCTGCTCACAGGTCACGTGGGCCTGCGATGCACCGCTGAGGAAGACAGCAGCGGAATTTGCTTCCGCTGCAGCGAGCCCGGCCACAAGGCCGCACGGTGCGCCGCGCCATCACCGAACTGTCGGTACTGTGCCGCGGCGGGTCGCAAGTCCGACCATCGAGTGGGCGTCACAAGCCTGTGTCGCCCGCCAACGGCCCGAGCCGCGGCACGGGCCACAGGTGGGGGGGGGGAGTCGATGGACACCTGAGCAATCAGGTGGGCATCGACTCCAGACTTGACCCTAGGGTGGAGGATTGTTAGGGCAATCCGAAGCTCACCGGGGAGGCATTAGGGTCTGGAGGTGGCGTGCAGAGACTGTTCCCTGCACGCCTAGATGGAGGTCCCTTCGATGGGAACCATGCCGGTGGTCTTGGTGAATGCTTTGCGTATCCCATGGCCACGGCGATTATGTCGAGGAGGAACAGTCGTCAGGTTTTTAGCAGGTAGGAGTCCGGCAGTATCCATTCTTCCCTAAGGGAATGGTTCTCCATGATGGATTTTCCTGACGTGAAAAAAAAAAAAAAAAAAAAAAGGTTAGGTTAGGTTGGTTGCATTTTGGGACTCGAGTCGGATTATGTTTTGGATGTTTTTGGCGCAACTTTTGCAGTGATTTGTTTTTCTTTTTCTTTTCCTTTTCTTACTAATTAGTTAGGTTAAGTTTGTATATACATAGTTAGGTCTGTACATATAGTTAGGTTAAGCCAGTTAGGTTAAGATAGTGTAAGTTAGGTTAGGTTTGTTATTGTTTTTGTTTTATTGTATGCGCTGAGGTGTTTGTGGTGTGTCACCGGGAACGGCGCGGAGGTACCTCCAGTCTCGTGTGCCCCGCTCCAGGGGAAACCCTGGAGCAGTTTGTGGAGGCGCAAGCCTCCATAGTACCCGCCCGACTTAGGTCGGGCGTGACGTCCTTGCGGCCGGGTTGAGGAAGTTGGCTGGTAGTAGCAGCCCCTTCCTTTTCCCGTCCCCCACTGGGGGGGACGAGGAGTGCTTGTCTCTGCCGCGGGACTTAGCGTTTTGGTCCATGTCGGACTCTATCACGCTGGCGGATGCCGACACGGTGCGGTCGGCGAGGTCGCGGCCCGTCTCGCGGGCCAGGTCGCGGGCGTCTCGGCCTTCCTCAGCGTCGTCGACGCGCTCTACGCGCTCAACGCGCTCGATGCTGGTGGAGGACGAGATGTCCGGATGTTTAGTGTCGAGCGAAGACGGGCTCGCAAAAACGGCCGTGTCGAAGCGGCCGCACGCGGATGGACCGGGCCCTTCCGGGGCGGCGGGCGGGAGTGCCAAGCCGTCGAAGATGCCCTGCCCGTCGGCCGGAAACGGGGTCACCTTATTGGTGCCCCTGGGCCGTAATACGGAGAGTCCGGCAACGTCGCCGAAATCCCGGCGGCAAGAGAAACAGGGGGACGACGAGATGTTCGTCCGACCCTCGGAGGTCCCTGTGGGGAAGGGGAAGGTCCCCCCAAAGGATGACATGCAGCCTGTGGCCGTCTTCAGGGCGGAGGCCCAGAAAAAGCTGGTGGCTGCCCTGGAGACGGTGCGCAGGTGCGGAAACCTTAAGGGGACCGACCAAAAGCTGCTGAGGGACAACATCGGCGCTGTGATGCGATTGGCGGAGGGCTTGGATGTTAATGCCCCCGCCAACAACGACTTCACCGCGATGGCTGTGGAGCGCCGGGATATGGAGAAGCGAATTGGGGAGCTCCATAAAGAAAATAAGGAGCTCCGTCGCCAGATCCAGGAGCTCCAAACACAAATGCAGCAGCTCGCGGCGAGGACACCACAGACTCCCTCAGCTGCTTCCCAGGCACCACAGGGGCCTGCGAGGGTGAGGGCACCTGGCCCGGCCCCGGCGTCAGTGATAGACACCGAGGAACTGCGGGCGGAACTTCTGCGCTCGACCGGGTTTATGGTCGACGCCCGTTTCCAGGAGCTGAAGGAAATGATCCAAAAGGTTCATTCCCTTCAGGAGGCGTCGATCCGCCCGGTACACCGCCCGCCGCTGCAGAGCGATGGGCAGTATGAGGTTCTGTCCCGCATCCCTGGCGCAGGGGGACCGGGCTTCGGGACGCCCCCATTTGCGCGGGGCGCGAGGTGCTGAATTCCCGCCGCTTCCAGCGGCTCAACCGACCAGCCGGCCGACCTCCGGTAGTCAACAGCCGGGGCCGTCGGGCGCGGGGCGCGCAAACGATGGCTGGAGCACGGTGGTGAGACGGGGCGGTAAAAATCGCAACGT